TGGGGGCTGCGATTTGAGAGGCTGGGGGTTCGTTTTGGCGTCTTCAGTTTAGGGGGTAGGATTTGATGATCCTATGACTCATTTTGTGGTTTATCATGATTAGGCTAATGTCATTGGTTCTGATGATGCAACATAACTCAATTGAAGAAATTTTCAAAACAAACTCGGCACAAGTTTTAATTTTCAAAATCGACTCATTTTTTTTTTATAAAAATCGACTCACTTTTTGTCACGTCAGCTTAATCTCATTCTTAAACAGTCGGGGTTGGCAACCCCGACTGTTTAGGAGGTTGTTAAATCCCAATTAGAAGTCTTAAACCCAATTTTTTATGTCCTAAATGGTCGGGGTTGGCAACCCCGACTAATTAGGAAATGAGATTAAACTGACGTGGCAAAAAAGTCGATTTTTGTAAAAAAAAAGTGAGTCGATTTGGAAAATATTAAAACTTGGTTTGAATCTTTTTTGAAAATTTCTTCCAACTCAATTTATTGGTGCTTGTTTATTGAAATCAATGAAATGTTACTTGGATATTCTCCTCCTGTTGTGGAATTGTAGGCGTTTAATGTTGCCTTACTACTTTACTAGGGCGGGCGAGGTTCACTAGATTGCAAGTAGGGGAAATAGGTTCCTAATAGTATCACAATTGTTTGAAAAAAAGGAAAGTCGGTTGGATTTCTTTGCCTCCAGATTTTGAAAGATAGCTCTTGTGTGCATACCACCAAGATGCTGATAATAAACACGGAACACACCTATTGGACAACTAAATAAGAAAATCTAGACATGTAGAAAGATAAAAATTGTCATACTTTGCTCTATTCATTGAAGAGAAGGAAATGAGAAGTCTTACCCTCCTAAATGTTATGTTATTAGGGGGTGAACTAAGAAAAACTAGGGTGAATAGTTTAACGTCCTAAATGTTCCCTTAACTTCCTTTCTCCCTTATCCCCTCAATCCAAACAAGCCCTTAAAAAACACGGAACATCCCCATTGGACAACTAAAATAAGAAAATCTAGAAAGATAAAATTTGTCATAATTCCCTCCATTCATTGATAGGGAAAGCTTTAAAAAGTAAAAAATAACTCAAAAATTAAAATTTTAATCCTTAAATCAACATATGCATGAAGAGAGACGGAGGCCGCATCGTAAACATCATGCCTGAATCAATTATGTTATACGTGGTAATTCTCATAATAATAAATATCAAAAGCGATGGTTTCAAAAAAAAAAATATTTCTTAAATAAATTAAAAAACTAAATAAACAAAGAACGGATTGGGATCCTCTACTTATGCATAGTGTCTCCTAATATTTGCTAATGCATCTTTACCTTTTATTTTATGGACCCTACCTTTCACTTTGTACTTGTCCACAAAATGAAAGGTGGAGATACATTAGCAAATATTAGGAGGCACTATGCATGAGTAGAGGATCTCAATTCCTATTAGAACCCGTCACTGTGGGGTTTTGAAAACCACACATGGGGTCAGTAAAATAACCATATTGCCCTTATTTTACACTCTGTGTGGCCCAGAACCTTCCGCACCATGCAAGAGGTTTTAAAAGGATCATAACTCCTCATTCCATTCCCAACCAAGAGAATTTAGGCCAACGTTGACCGTTGTCAATCCATATAGTTTGCCAGCACGAGCAGTTTAAACGCAAGCACCATTAACGGATCCCTTACCCTCAGATCAACAACAATAAGGAAAATACGCAAATTTAGAGAAGTCGGATCAAATCAATTGAGAGAGAAAGAAACAAAAAGAGTAGGAAAGGAAAGAAAAAAAAATATGAGCGGATCAGCAGACGGAACCAAGCCTCCGGCATTGCCACAGCAGGGAGGCATCCTCCACCAACGCCGCGGCATGCCGGGCTGCCCCGCGAAGATGGCGGCAGT